GCACTAATGTGTCGCTGGTGTGTACCCATGTTCTGTCGAGCAGTTTCGGCAGCAGTAACAAAGCGATTTTGAAGATGCTGTCGCACAATCTGACGATCCTGACGTCGGGTGGTGACCCTTGGTCTTTCACTACGTGGTCGGTCATCTGAAGTGTTGCTGGTCTGGTGCCGTTGCTGGAGCCTGTATATGGTCCTAACGTGGACTTGAAATGCATTGGCTACTTGCGGGCGGTTTGTCCAGTATGCAATCGTCCAAGAGTTTGGTGTCGCTGATTTCTTGTCAATCTTGCAATTCAAAAACGACTGAATTTTATCCGATGGATTTTTATAGGGCAAGAAATGGGGGAACGCATGTGCATTTCAATTTGCATCGGGTTACCATGGCCGTTGCCGTGATGCGTTTGGGCGATCGGTTTTATTGTCATCTGTTTTGTTTTTTATCAGCAAATTTCATTTTTCTGAACAAGGTAATGTAAAATTTTAGAAACTTTGACATACAGTACCCAGATATTTAAAGGACAACTTTTCATGCAAAGTTACTCGCATGATGTTTGTTCAGTATGTATATTCAGTAGTACTTGTACAAGCAACCACACAGTCAGCACACACACACACACGCACACACACACACACACGCACACACACGCACGAACGCACGCACGCACGCACACACACAAACATCAATTTGCTAGATTGCTGGCTAGTCGTTATATAAGTTCAATAATCTGGAACGCGACCTTAAACCCCATTTAACCTCACCTCAAAGAACCTTCCGAGATCAGTAACCTTGGGGCTTGTATAATCCGTGCACAGGACAAGGCCGTGACAGTCACGCACACTTGATAGATTCTTCTGCAATATTACACGAGGCGACACTATTTGCCTGGAGTCCCCTGGCATCGACGTCTCAGGTAAACCCGACACGTGTTCAATAATCGCCTTGTTTACATACTGTTTCATCTTTTCATGAAGCGACCACATGGTGTCTGAATGTGTAACACTATCTTCCACGTTGTAAGCGCTGGGATCACTTAAAGGGGCTTTCAACTCGGAACAGTGGCAGTCCGGGTTTGAAACAATTTAAGAAATTATAATGCAAGTCGGACTAAAAGAGGATTGGGTGGTCGGGGCCCCGTTCCACAAAACGATCTCAGCGCAAAAATGACCTTAAGTCCGTGCTTTGATATCAGCGTACAAGTCCATAACATCCGTACCTCTAATGTCAATCTTACTTATTTTGTTTGTTTGTTTGTTTGTTGTTTAACGCCGCACTCAGCAATATTCAAGCTGTATGACGGCAGTCTGTATATAATCAAGTCTGGACCAGACAATCCAGGGATTGACAAGAGCATCGATCTACGCCGTCATATGGCTGGAATACTGCTGAGGGCGGTGTTGAAAACCCCCCCCAAAAACCCACTTCATACGAATGTAAAGCTGAAAGATTGTTAACTGTGACTTCAATCAACAAAGGAACGATTTCTGATATGGGTAGTATTTAAGATGACGTGTTCGGGATATGAATGTTTCATTTTTCCTTCCTTCAAACTTTTTATAATCAAGGTGGATGTGCGGTGGGGTGGCTTATTGGTTAAATCGTTCGCTATTCGTCTCGAAGGCCCGGGTTCGAATCCCCACATTTGTCCATTATGGAAAGTTGATGCCTGGAATATTGCATGAAGCGGCGGAAGACCCAACACACCTACTCCCTCTGAGAATAGGCGTTATTTTTCGCCTTTAACCTTTCGTTTAAACCTTACGGCTGCACAGACCTGTCGAGTGACCAGTGTCAACATCGATCAGTGGCGACATCATCAAGTAGCCTGTGGTTAAAGCGTTCGCTCGTCACGCCGGAGGCCCGGGTTCGATTCCCCACATGGGTACAATGTGTGAAACCCATTTCTGGTGTTCCCTGTCGTGTTGTTGTTGGAATATTGCTAAAAGCGGCGTAAAACCATACTTACTCACGACATCGATCGAGACATATTGTCGATAAAGGATCTTCCGGTCCCAAAAGGTACAGCGCCTTTAACGGCATATCGAGTGAAAGGAATTCTTTTTAACGATGTTCTTAAGCATTTCAGTGTTGTGTGATCACTATTTTGCAGGGTGAACTTCAGAACATCCAATCCCTAGAGACAATTGGAATATAAGAAGTCGGGCATGAATCTGTAATTTATTTTATTACATGTTTTATGACTGGGGGACACGGGTTGCCCAGTCGTCTAAGGCGCCGCGATTCGCTGTGCAGAGTTGCGTCCCTTGGGTACGCCAGAAACCTATGATAGTGGGTTCGATTCCCGGTTCGCCCCGATTATGTTTCTAGGGTTTTTAGCACCATACCCGTGCTCGTGGGTTTCACCGAAGTGGTAAACGCCTGATACCTGCATCACTTCGGGCTTTCCTCCCACGATAAGCTGACACGCCGTGATATAACTGGAATGCTGTTATAAGCGGCGTTAAACCCAACTCATTCACTCACTTTTAAGACTGCCTCGTTATTATATTCATTTAATAATACATAAGTACTTTGAAAGTCTGACAAACGAACCTTTGTTTGTCAAATATGTTACAGCATGTATGCTTTGATGATGCTTGACAGAGCGACGCTTCCTTGCGTGTCGTACTTGCATTTCAATACGGGCCATTTAACGTATACATATTATGAATAAATAATGTCAACGACAATGGATCACTAATAAAAAATAAGCATGCCGTGCATATCATCAGTCTCAAAGAACAAACCACCATATGCGTTAATGGATGACTCAGGTCTATGGGTTTGTCTCTTTTGTTCCATTTACTATTAAATTTAATATGTCCTTAAAAGTCAATTATTATTGTAAAGTTTGTATTTTTTAGAAAAAAATATTTAACTCCCGCGAGGACTACGATCCCACATCGCCGATGTATACTACTCAAAAGAAGTTAGGGATCACCAAATTCTTTCATATTGGTAATGTTAATCTGTCATGGCATGAAAGATTAACTATTGTAATATGAAAGAATCAGGTGATCCTTAACTTCTTTTGAGTAGTATATTATGAAGTGACTGCATTGTATACTACTCAAAAGAAGTTAAGAACACGTGATTCTTTCATATTACTGAACTATTAGATAATCGTTTTGCATGATGCCATTGTCATGACATGGGATATTTACCAGTTGCAGTTACCTAGTTTTACTGTATTGCCTAATCGCAACATGACGATTCTATTCTGCATTCTCGCGATCAGTGACGCACGACACTTAGAAAGAATGAAAGGAAATATACAAACTCAGGGAGCGGCCATGGGATGCCATGTCTGCAAAATAACAACATGAATTATGCACGTGCTCGGATAACCGCCGGATAAAGAAAGTTCACACTCATGTCTGATGGTGGATAAAAAATTGATGGTGATGTATTTGATACGGGGTTGTTGGTTGGTTGGTTGGTTGGTTGGTTTGTTGTTTAACGCCGCACTCAGCAATATTCCAGCTATATGACGGCGGTCTGTAAATAATCGAGTCTGGACCAGACAATCCAGTGACTGATATCATGAACATCGATCCACGCTATTGGGATCGATGACATGCATCAACCAAGTCAGCGAGCCTGACCACCCGATCCCGTTAGTCGCCTTTTACGGCAAGCATGGGTTGCTGAAGACTTTTTCTACCCCGGAATCTTCACGGGTCATTTGATACGGTGATCAGAGGCGACATTACATGCATTCTATCAATGATCGTGAATATTTCTCACTGCGTCTGCCACGTCAGGTTTCTTGTAATCCCATTTTCAAGCGTATACTTTCTTTTGCCCTGCATGCTATATATCTCAATTCCTTTTAACTGGATTAGCAATTAGCATCGGAAACGTCCACCCGTGAATATCGTGGTTAGAATTGGTCTTCAGCAACCCATGTTTGTCGTAAGAGGCGACAAACGGGATCGGGTGGTCAGACTCGCTGACATTGTTGATGCATGTCATCGTATGCCAATTGCGTGTATCGATGCTCATGACATGAATCACTGGATTGTCTGGTCCAGACTCGATTATATACTGACGCCGTCACATAGCTGGAATATTGCTGAGTTCGGCGTTAAACAACAAACACAAATATTTGCAGGCCGCCGTAATATTAGTATAGTTGGAATATTGCTGATTGTTTGCTTGCTTGCTGATTTATGTTTTAACAATCCACGTGGTTTACAGGGCGATGACCTTTGTGCCATCAGCCCTCCATTTTGTAGAGAAGTGGGATGTAATATAATAATAAAAACGAACATTATTTTGGAATTTCCAATACAGTAGAATATATATATATATATGGGACTGCAAGGGACCAGGAACATTCGTTTAATAACATTGAATTCATAACATTTTTAGAACATTGTTATCAAATACATGTAAACATATGTAACATTTTACGATTTACATACGGGGAGATGTGAAACCGCATCGTTGAGATCAGCCAAACTGTCAAATGATGTCATCTCTGTTGATTTTTTTACCCGTGAAGATCCGGGGTAGAACAGGTCTTCAGCAACCCATGCTTGCCGTAAGAGGCAACTAGTGGCGGTCGGGTAGCCTAGTGGTTAAAGCGTTCGCTCGTCACACCGAAGACCCGGGTTCGATTCCCGACATGGGTAAAATGTGGTAAGCCCATTTCTGGTGTCCCCCCCGCCGTGATATTGCTGGAATATTGCTAAAAGTGGCGTAAAACCATACTCACTCACTCTAGTAAGAGGCAACTAACGGGATCGGGTGGTCAGGCTCGCTGACTTGGTTGATGCATGTCATCGATCCCAATAGCGTGGATCGATGCTCATGATATCAATCACTGGATTGTCTAGTCCAAACTCGATTATTTACAGACCGCCGACATATAGCTGGAATATTGCTTAGTGCGGTGTTAAACAACAAACCAACCAACCAACTGTTGACATTTGAGTGTTCAAGAAGATCTTTAGTGTGTTGATTCATGATTGTGTCATGATTGTTTTTCTTTCTTTCAGGTCCCAATTTGAAAATTATCGGCACGATGTCCGTGGGCATGGCGCACATTGACGCACGTGAATGCGCCAAAAGAGGGGTACAGGTTGCCAATACACCGGACGTCGCATCCGACAGCGCTGCCGAGTTGACGGTGGCGTTGCTGTTGTTGACAACGCGACGACTTGCCGAAGGCATGTACTCACAGGTTTCTTATCATTGTCCTGCCGGAATACGCCCCCAGTACCGCATACAGAATACGCCCCCAGTACCGCATACAGAATACGCCCCCAGTACTTCGTTATTGTCTCTCCACAGGGACTCCACGACAGAATCAACATCCTTACCTATTCGGCTGATACGCGCAATTCGCTGTGCAGAGTTGTGTCCCTTGGTCTCGCCAGAAACCTATGATCTTGGGTTCGAATCACTGTACACCCGGATTATGTTTCTAGGTTTGTCAGCACCATACCCGTGCTCGTGGGTATCACCGAAGTGGTAAACATCTGAGACCTGCATCACTTCGGGCTTTTCTCCCACATGAAGCTGACGTGCTGTGATATAACTGAAAAACTGTTCACAGCGGCGCTAAACCTATATCACTCACTCACTCACTCACTCACTCTAACGTCTTATCCAAGACTTACAATAAGTCAGCTGCATCTCGTGTTTCAGGCATCCAGGCGGTCAAGTCGGGAGAGTGGGGCTTATGGCGACCTATGTGGCTGTGTGGGGTGGAATCCGTCAACCGCACCCTGGGGATTATCGGAATGGGGAGGGTGGGCTTCGGGGTAGCCAGGAGAATGAAACCTTTCGGTGTCAGCCGCATCATCTACTACGACGAGTTCCAAGCGGGGTATGCAGCTGATGTCGGTGCCGAGCTTGTGGACTATGACACCCTGCTCCGCGAGTCCGACATCATCTGCATCTGCTGTGCCCTCACACCCCGCACCCGGGACATGTTCAACGCGAGCGCGTTCGCCAGCATGAAAAAGTCCGCCATTCTCATCAACACGGCCAGGGGACCAATCGTTAACCATGACGACCTCGTCCAGGCTTTAACCCAGGGGGACATAGCAGCAGCTGGCCTTGACGTCACAGAACCAGAACCGCTCCCTACAGACCATCCCCTCATGGCGTTGGATAACTGCATCATATTGCCCCACCTTGGCACCAACTCGAGGGAGACACGTATCAATATGTCGACCAACACAGCCATGAACATAACAGCAGTGCTCTGCTGTGGACAAGCATAAGTTTTGGCTTCATTTTATTTTTAGTTGGTTAACGGATATTTTCTACAAGGTTTTGGTCGGTGTTCGAAATAAGATATAACTAAAATTATATTCTTCAGTTATTTTCTCTTTTCTTTTAATATAGTGTCGGGTGACGAGAAGAAAATTAAAATGTTCAAGTTTTTTTAGGTATTGTAGTAAAAAACCAAGCAGCGATGTTAAATGTTAATAGTGTAGAACGTTCACATAAAAACGTGTGGTGTTCCATTGAAGTGAGGGATAGTATTGGAGCAAATTCTGTCTTATTCTTAAGAGCGATTGTCAGTCTCAGTGTTAACAAAAACAACATTAAACTTTTTTTCACAGTCGTGATTTTTTAGCTCACCGTTCCGTCAACCAAGTAATATTAAGGCGTCTGTAATGTATTATGTGAGAGAAGATATATATTTTGTTTCTGTGTCAGCATACACGTAGATGTACATTTCTCGTTATGCCTGTCTTGTCTTTGGAGGCTGACATAAATGGCTATTAAAAATAATGAAATCTGTCTTTTTGTTTTATTCATTGACAAACTAGATAATATTGGATGTATATCGCTTCATTATCATATCCCTCTTATATAAAATTGTCATTGACATGCTACTGTCATTTATTATATAATCTATATAGTGATCTATCAGAGAGGCCTCCTATCTCTGTAGAGGGACACTACGCTTATATCGTCACTCTCCTTGACAACTGGTCAAAGTTAAACGCCAGTGGAAGTAGAACAGGGTCAATAAGAGTGCTGCATCATAGCTTGATGCGGGTGATTGTTGTTGAAAACACTTGGCTCTAGATATTTGGCAGTTTGGCCAAGTTTATGATCTTGTTTACCGCGACATTACCGGTATACCAGGATATGAAAAACCTATGGATACGTACCACAATACGTTTGGAAAATACGGTATATTGCGTGTTTGAAAATCATGCATATTATGTTGTTCGAAGATTTTACATTAGTGTCAACTCAAACGGAAATTAAGAAACAGAAACTTTTTCCTGTTGTCGAAACAGTGAGAGACTATTTGTTTCCTTAATCGCTGCAAGGTCACTGTTATATCACCTACACATCACTGCTGGAACTCGCTCCCACATCTCATCGCACTTATCTATCATATCACTATCATGGTTGTACTACTTTTACCTCTCGTGTACTGTTTTGCCATTATCACTAGCTAACAATGCAGTACGTAACGCAGATGGGCATTCTGCGCTGGTCATTGTCCTTCATGGCTAGAGCCTACTTACAAATAGAGATCTTAGAACAAAGATGGTCGCAACTCCCATACTTTAACACTGATTGACAAATCTTTCTCAGCGCCACGGTTGTTGACGTGTGAAATGTTGACGAAGTCCACGAGAACGGCTATGGTGACTATAAACCATGGATCTAGATCCGGACAGATCTGGGATTCTAACCCGCAATCAGCGGATCCTGACTCGGCCATGGGGCTATATGGTATTTCAACATGAACACAACTGCCATACATTAGCATGCATGCATGTACGGCACAGAAACATTCACATCCAACGATAACTCGAAAACTATTGGGGGCGGTCGGGTAGCCTAGTGGTTAAAGCGTTCGCTCGTCACGCCAAAGACCCGGGTTCGATTCCCGACATGGGTACAATGCGTGAAGCCCATTTCTGGTGTCCCCCGCCGTGATATTACTGCAATTTTGCTAAAAGCGGCGTAAAACCATACTCACTCACTCGAAAAATATTGGCAGAGTCGGACATATCGGCAAGTTAGGATCGATTTGAGCTCACGATACCTCAGAAAGGAACGAAGTAAGCACGATCGATGCTTCATCATTTTATACACAGATCAGCGAATATTTTAAACAAAGAAGAGTCCAAAAACAAACTCATGTACCGAAAAGAGAACAATAAACGCTATAATTGAAGAAATAGCATACTTCGCACATCGTATTCTCACCATGAAAGAGGAGCATATTTTAATCTTTTCATCTCACCCATACGAAGGGAAATACTGTATACAAATGGTCATTGTTTAATTGTAAATAGGAGAATGTCTTAGGGTTAAAAAGGGTGGAGAATAGGTTTGCTTTGTTATGACCGTGAACAGTTGCTTGCTCATTAGGATGCGAATAGAAGGTCATGCTTATGCGATCAAATGTGTAATTTTGGACATGTCCTCCAACATGACCATATATGGAGCCTCCGTATGTAAAGGCTCCACCCCCGCTGTATTTTCGTTTCAGCCTTTGCAATTGATAGCCAATACTAGAATGCAAATGTACCTTATTTACGCGCCGCTTTCGATATTTTCATTGCAGTATTTGCATTAACGATGTTACGATCTACCCAATTCTGCAAAGTTGTATACATCAACGAGACTTGCACTTTAAGTATCTCTTTGTCTTGTGAAATGTGGGAGGTCTTCTATTTCAGCTGGGTAATCCTTCAACCATATTGGTCCCTGCTTTTTGTCGCCATTGAGCTGATCTACCCATAATCCCCTTGGTAGATAAATGTCTCGGGAGTTAGCTCCCTTGTCTAAGACAGGGGCCACGAGAAGGTCGTCACCAAGTAAAAACTCGGAATCAGTCGTGAGGGCGATTTCATCTTCAGGGCTGATCCACCAAAGTGGTCGTATAATTGGACTACCCTGTTTAACACTCTCTTTCGCTAATGAAATAATTGTGTCCGCATATCGTTTACGCAGTTTCATCTGTGCTTTAGCAATAGTTACTACCTCCGCATCGTAGATCCAGGGCGCAATTGAAAACTGAACAGCAGGCAAGAATGTATTCACTTGCAACCATCGTATGAATAGCTCCCTTTCAGGATAGGCCCCTCCAGAGAAGGTGATGTCGTCTTGGTACGCATTCCCACCAATCATATCGGGTAACACAAACGGGTAACCAAGGATACCAAATGTAAGGATGGCTGGGATGACAGTTTTAAGACCAGTATCATAACCCCAAGAAGACATCCTATCAAAAAGACGAACGAAAATAGGATACTTTTGCGATGACCACCCTACCCGAACTTCCTGGTGTCTAACTGCAGTGTCTGATTGATAGGCCAGATCTGCCCACAGGCGTGCATAGTTCTCGGGGTTAGGGTAGGGTGATTTAATGGAGTATGACCTTGGGTAGTAAAAGGCTTCACCAGCGTCGAATTTAAAGGAACTGACGTTGTGTGAGGCCCTGAGGTTCCTAAGTCTCTCCAGGAATCTCTGTACGGCGTTGCTATTGGTAACATCCAGCAATCCAGCTTCATCCCCGTTCCACCATTTCACCAAGGCTGGGGCGGAGCCGTCGGTTGTCATGACGACATGTTTCTCCCTTGCTGCTTCCTTGTAAGCCTTGGAGTTGACTTCCATGAAAGGGTGCACCCACACCGTCACTCTGAACCCCATGTTGTTCAATGTCCGGATCATTTTACCAGGATCTGGAAACTTGTTAATGTCGAATTCCTGATCTCCGTAAAGCGGGGTCCAGTCATCATCGATTTCGATTTGCGAATAGGAAAAGTCATTTTCTTTGATAGCCTTCGCGAATTCCATTAGAAGTGTTTCGTTGATGTTTTTATTAAACTGCGCCCACGTTGACCACACTGGGAACCTGAACATCTTCTCATCTGGTATGTTCTCTGGACGGTCAATGTACCGTCTTGACATGGCGTCGTGAAGGAGCTTGATATTTGACGCTCGGCAGATGGTGTAGTTGAGTTCGGGGAGGACGTTGTTGTTGTTCATGTAGGGGTAACCTTGTGATTTGCTGACAAGGCAAACTTCCCCGTCTCCAGACTGATTCATGCTAACGTACAGGGGGACGTCGTTACTTATACGTATACCTACGCCGTTTGAATTGATGAAATACCGTTCTATAACGCCACCTATGTCTGACTTGTGAGTAAACATGTCTGTGGATACGAAAGGCTGCAAGTCCAAATTCATCGCATTCAGAGGCCAAGGTTGATGGACGTGCTGAAAACCGCCGTACCACTGCGCTGCGGACAAACTGAAGCAATCCTTAATCTCTTGGGACACAGTTTGCAGAGCTTTTCTTCTCACGTCATAGCAGACGACATTTTCCTCCTCAGTGCGCACGACCTGCAGTTGTTGTTTCCCTATCTGATCCACACACAACGCATTAACGTCACCTCTGATGCCACAATCTCTGAAGTCGGAGCTCTCAGTGTCCAGACCGATTCTGCCAATTAACGCGGGTTTCAGGTGAGAAAATGAGTCGTGTATTCTCAATGTGTAATAACTGTCCAATGTCAGATCTTTTATGGCCCGATCAACACACTTTCCTCCATAGTGTTTAAACCAAACACCCCCATAGTAAGCTAGAATTGTCCCGATAAGTGCCACGGCCAGGTATGCTGCTAAAGTACTGTCACGACCGGCCATGATTTAACGCAGCCTGAAAAGAGACATGAAAAACTAATTGACATAATAATAATGGTGAGGTGAATGGGGTTTAAGGTCACGTTCAAGATTATTGAACTTGCATATAGCAACGAACTTGCACGTGTGTGTGTGTGTGTGTGTGTGTGTGTGTGTGTGTGTGTGTGTGTGTGTGCTCGTGGCTGCTTGTAATTTTCCGGACAAGTGCTGGTCTCATTGGGCGAGCACACTGAGATACCATGCCGTAGTTTAACATGGATACTCCATTCACAGTATACTGATTCGAGCCGACCAGTCATTTTTTTACCCCCTGAATGCCAGGCGCCAGGCAATGCAACAACAAGTATCATCTTTCGATATCACGCGGCCAGGGGATCGAACGACCGACCTTCCGCTCCCCGGGGAGACCCTCTGTCCACAAGACCACCGGGACGGTCCATAATGCAAAGGCATAATTTTCAGACAGGATGGATGAGTGACTTGCGTTTCATGCTGCCAGTATTTCCCTTATATCCGACGTGTCAGCTAAATGTAGTTGTTCGAGAGTGCCTTTGGTCTTTCGCTGCTTTAAGCAATATTCTAGCAATATCACGGTGGGGACGCCAGACATGGATTCACATTATGCCCATGTGGGGAATCGAACCCCGCCGTTCGGCGTGACGAGCGATCGCTTCAACTACTTGGCTACCACACGGCCCCTAAATACAGGAGAGAAGTTGGAAAAACCGAAGATTGGAGACGTCTTCCACATTGGTGAAAGCCAACCGCATGTGTAGGCTGTCGGAATCGGAATAAATTTGGGATATGATTCCAAGCGGGGAAGAAATAATAGCGCCACCTTAAAGGTAGGAAACGAAGGCTTCCACCAAGGCTGTGTTTTTTTAGAGTCACTGGGGTTTTATACACACTGATCCAAATTGGTACAGAAACACTTCTGTCTCGTGCAGGGAATTCCATTGTGACGTATATAGGACACGTGTTACTTAAGGTCTTCCAGCCTTTGGGTATAGCTCACTTGCTATCTTTACACCACAAGGTCACATTGTCTGCTGTTTGTAGATTTCCTTAGTCATTGATGCTTATTAAGTAGTTAATATAGCAGTAATTTTGAAAAGCCCAACCTCCCGCCCAAAACCTCACACACACATATAATATATTCTGGCAAACATAAAAAGGATACACTTAAAAAACTGGATTTGACTTAAAGATTACGAACGTCATCAAAACTTTACTAGGCTGAAAGCAGCCTGCGAAACACTGCCAACTTAAGGCCAAACTTTCGTGTGTTTTGAGTGAATGTTTTTCGCAATATCACGGCGGGGGGCACCAGAATTGGGCTTCACACATTGTACGCATGAGGGGAATCGAAACCCGGTTTTCGATGTGACGAGCCAACGCATTAACCACGAGGCTACCCCGCCGCCCCTTTTTGTTTTTCAGTCACCATCAAACATGGAGCACACTTTCTTTTGCCCGGCAGTGTATGTGAGCTACTCCCCTGTGACATGGCAGCCCCATACATATATAATTGAACATTCGTTCGAATTCCGTTCCCAGTGTCATAATTCTAACAGCTACAGTTTTCAGCATTACAAATTTTTTTAACTATGGCCAAACTGAATGAAATATTTAATTTCAATAATGCACTCATGTCGATAAATAAGAATTGTAAATATAATTCAGTTTGAGAACATCATCATCGTCAACTTAAAAACCTAGACAACGTGATCCTACTGCGACGTGTACGGAATAATGTCATAACACACAACGACACATGTAACCTAGTTACGGCTGTTAAACACCACAGCGCAATGTGCAATTGGACCATGGTACCAGGAACATGCAATTATAACAATTAACTGACCTTGGTTGACGCTGCTCTGTCACCATCAATATTTAAATATGTTTTAGGAAGGTCAGACGGTGCACGAAATGAACTGTTACTCAAGGTCACGTCACTCAACCTTGTTATCCTCTGAACACACAATGACACACAGTCGGTGTTGCAACTGCGTTAAAGTGGAATGTCCTATACACGACTCGCCGCACTTGATGGTGAATAGATGAATAGGTGAATTCCGATTTACTCCAGTCTCCAATGTTCTACTATGTCTCCGCGGTCTGATAAATATTTGAGTCATGCCACAGACGTTAAATTACTGTGCTCGTTGTTACCATTGGGATATTAGTCGGACCGGTTGAGTTTGAGGATACCCATAATACAATGCGGCATGGTATCTGAGCGGGCTGGCGGGCACAGTGACTATAAAACCAGCATAATTCCGGGCTGTAGTAAGCAGCTACACGCACGCACGTTGCAACTTGAGTGAAATAATCTTGACCTACCAAAACATGACCTACTGATACATGACCTACCGATACATGACTTACGGAAACACTAGCAATTTAAACCCTAGCAATGCTGTACACTAGCACTGTAAACCCAAGCAATGCTGTACACTAGCACTGTAAACCCAAGTGAAGTTGTACACTAGCATTGTAAACCCAAGCAATGTTGTACACTAGCACTGTAAACCCAAGTAATGCTGTACACTAGCATTGTAAACCAAAGTAATGCTGTACACTAGCATTGTAAACCCAAGTAATGTTGTACACTAGCACTGTAAACCCAAGCAATGTTGTACACTAGCATTGTAAACCCAAGTAGTGTTGTACACTAGCATTGTAAACCCAAGTAGTGTTGTACACTAGCATTGTAAACCTAAGCAATGTTGTACACTAGCACTGTAAACCCAAGCAATGTTGTACACTAGCACTGTAAACCCAAGCAATGTTGTACACTAGCATTGTAAACTCAAGGAATGCTGTACACTAGCACTGTAAACCCAAGCAATGTTGTACACTAGCATTGTAAACTCAAGGAATGCTGTACACTAGCACTGTAAACCCAAGCCATGCTGTGCACTAGTCCAATGGTTCGGTAATATAACAACATTTTATTGCCAGCATTGGCGCGTTAGATGCAGCAACCATTTCACCACAGAATGTCGACGTTTCCTATGTACGCTGAGTATTTTACTAACACAGACTTTATCGAAGTACTGTATTGAACTGTGGTCATGTTTTAACGAAACAGTGGCTTATGGGGAGTATAATGTGAATGAGAAAGTGCTACAGTTTTGGGTACACTGCCTCATATGTTTATTTGCCTGAGGTTGATGTTTATATAGTCTACTAACTAGTATACGGCTCGGTTATGACCCGGGCAAGGGTGGTCCAGTCGTCTAAGGCGCCGCGATTCGCTGTGCAGAGTTGCGTCCCTTGGGTACGCGAGAAACCTGATTGTAGGTTCGAATCCCGGTTCGCCCCGATTATGTTTCTAGGTTTGTCGGCACCATACCCGTGCTCGTTGGTTTCACCGAAATGGTAAACGTCTTAGACCTGCATCACTTCGGGCTTTCCTCCCACATTAAGCTGACACGCCGTGATAAAACTGGAATACTGTTAAAAGCGGCGTTATACCCAACTCACTCACTTGTATATATGATGCCTGCATTCAGTCAGTATACAAAGATATGTAAAAACATAGTGTTAAAGTATGAGAGTTACGACCAGCTTAGCGCTAAGATGGCTTTTTGTAGCTCCGGAGAAGTATCAATACATTGACATCTTTTACTTGTTTAACTTATAGGTCTCCCACTCACAATTGTCAAAAGCACTGGCAACCGGGTGAAGGGAGGTGAGAAAGCCATGGTCGAATGGGAACGCGTCGGCTTGTATAATACTGTTTTGCTTAGCCAGGCCCTCAGCATTATGAGGTTAATGAGGTTCTATGAGCCTTGATAGAAAAAGGTACCAGCATATGTGAAAATAAAGCAATATTATTAGCAATGGTGTCTTTTGTTACCGTGCACGGTGTCATATTAGGTTAGCAAAAAAATATCTTTGCGCACGTCATGTGAAAACTTAAACCTCAAAACTTAACACTTACAACCTAAGACGTTGAGGGTCAAACTGCCCTCAAAATAAACTAGAAAACTTCAAGGCCCTAGGCGTATTCCTAATCAAAACAGATCTAATTAAGCGCATCTAAAAACTCATCAATGTACCAATCCAAAATCCAATAAACATACAAACACCCACCTCACCCGGCTCCCTTAGTTCCCCCCTCCACCCACCTCGGCATTTATTCCAAATTTAAAAATTCCAAAACCTCAATATAAGCAACCCCTTAAAGTCCCCTCTTGTGTTGCACACACCACTTTCACCCTTTTCGGAATACACTAAATGGCCCGGCCCGGCCAGGCCCATACGCTACAGCCGGAAAGCGCACGTTAAATCTCCTATATCAGTCAGTCAGTTTGAATTTTTTTTCTCTCGCTCACTGTGCATGCACGGCCTCACACTTGTTTCTTATATATATTTATGAACATGTATATTAAAATTGTTCTTCATTTTATGATTTAATGATTTCATGTGTTGCAGATAGTCGTGGAAATAGAATGCACATTTGAGGGTAATGTGTACTGTTGTAAGTGATGCTATTGATTGGCTGGCGAGTCTTTACAATACAGCGTTGCTTCATTGAGAAAGTCCATAGTTGGATGCAGTAATGTTGCTTGGCCGGCGGGCCTTCATAATACAGTGTTGCTTTATGCATGATTTGTAATTTGTACATCTGTTAAAACTATCATTCTGCTGCAGAGCCCTTATATCACATATCTTCAAAATAAGACCATATATACTAAGCTGAAGAGCTTTTGATAATACTGCAAATACAATGCGAGTTGCACTATATAAAATAAATTATGAAATTCATTTGTAACATATGTTCATGAATTGTTAGTATTTCTGTTTGGACTTGCATATACATGTCATGAGTATACTGTATACCCTCCAGTATTTGCTGCTGCATCCGTTGAGGGAACACGGTTCCAGATGTTTTCTTATAAAAGTTTTTATATCTGGTTTTACGTGTCGGGCTTCAGCAAAATATAAATATTCATAGCAGATTGCTGACAATGTATATACAAATGTGTATAAATGAATATCTTTGTTTTATACTATACGCAAATAAATCGGCCGTGTATCACATGTAGGGGATAAGGAGAATGTACATACGGCAATATACGATGATTATATGTTTCAAAGGAGTGGCCTCATATGATATAAAATGCCCAAAGTTAGTTCGTATGAGGTCATAGCATTCATTGCCTCTCTGTTTGCGTTTGTTTCAGCGGTGTAAAATCCGGCTTCTCGCCCTTGACAAGTGGCCACGCAAACATTGCATAGCAAAGGTTCACCGGACCCAGCCTCCTGCGTCCTATACTTATATACAAATGAAAATTAGACGCAAATAATTCTGCGTCTGGTTGCAAAAAAATGCGGTAATTAGAATAATTGAATACGAGTACCGTATTCGACGTAATAAGCGCCCCGCTCTAATAAGCGCCCATGGCGATATTTTCTAATATATTTGCTAGTGAACAATTAGCACCCCTTCCGATTGATCAATGTACACAAGACTTATTGATTCGTGTATAATACTCACTCGTGTGTTATATGCACCCTTAATTGTGGGCAATTAAATTCTGGAAAATATATCTCTCGTGTATGATACGTACATACTTTTCTTTTGAATCATTTCAGGCTGTCAGCATAAACTACTGTACGAAATTTACAATTTTTCAACTCTGTTTTTGTTAAAATTATATTCTAATAAGAGCCCACTATTTCCAATTTTGAGAGCGCCCTGGGCGCTTAATACGTCGAATACGGTATATCAAAATTACAGACAGCATGTTACATAAAACTAATGTTTCTATTCAGGCGGAACATACACTCAACGTTCAGTGAGTGACTCACTTGGACGCAGTTTTTAGCACTCTTGCAGCAAAAATCAGGAGTGGGGCACAAGAAATGGGCTTCACACATCGTACCCATGTGGGGAATCGAACCCGCCCCTTCGGCGTGACGAGCGAACGCTTTAACCATAAGTCTGCCCCTCAAAGTGTAGGGCGCCAATGGTAGAATTGTTTAAATTTCTACCTATAATAGGCTAAAGGCTTATTAGAATGTGCAATAATATGACGTCAGTACTTAAAAAAATTCTTGATTATCAATCGAAGCAATCGAGTCCAGTTTAGGACCCGTGTATTCATGCCTGACACCACCCCATGAAATCGCGTCTTGCTCAGTAGCCAGTGACATGAAGATTAGAAACGAAATTCTGAACAAATGATGCGTTGACAGAAACCAGTAAACATATACTAAACATGAGGAGAAACGAAACGAACAGATTTGGTGTTCTTTAAATATTTGAAAGATTGAAACAAACACAACGAAAGGTCCTCAACGCTTTCTTAAATCTTACTAACATATTCCTGATTCAGTTGTCAGCCGTGTGGTATATGTACGGTACGTACGAGCAAACCGAACCACCAGCCCAATGCCTCTTCATAGGGGAAGGTCAATACGACATTTAGATCTTCCCCCGAGAATCAATACTGCGATATTTAAGTATTATCTATTTGTTATAGTGCATGTGCATAAGGAAGCCGGAAACAGCCTTACCACTGACACAGCACAGCTGACACAATGCGATTCCGGTTTGAAAGAGGATATATATCAATGTGAGCATCTGTTCAGCAGCTATCGTGAATGCATATGCAGGTAATGTCAGTGGTTGGCTGCGTTTGCGAGTTAGCGGGGTGTGGCAGATAACATGTATGTACCGGTGTGTTTATCGACATTCAGTAGGGGCTATAGCGGTTACGACATAACTCGTTGTATGTATAATAGAGTACTTACCAAAGTAGTATCTCGCTGTCGCCTCACTGTATAGACTGTCTCCCGTTCCGCCCGCTCGGGTTATTACATGGACGTGTATTTGCAAACACTTCAATAAGTTGATGTTGAGCGTTTGTTAAAGAATTGACCCGAATGTTGAGGCGATATCCCTGACAGGCGAATCTATGCTGTTGTTATTTCACGCTTTCACTGAAGATTGTCGTAGGTATCACTGGGTAGCGTTATCTGCGTTAAAGGAGCACGGATGCATTACACTATCGGGATACATAATAGGTACCACCGCGGCATACAAGTCGATAACGTGAGAGGATTTTTTCTGAGTTAATCCACAGATAAATATCACGTATTTGCATAAGGCCAGTTAAAAATATTGTTCATTTCTCGTCACATTTTTAAAAACTGAATAGACAGGGAGATAGAGTTAAATTTAAAGAGATGATTTCTGAAGGTCACAAATCTTTAA